CTAAAACAGTGAAAATAAAGAGCAGTTTATTAAGAGTAACTGACTTCATCTTTTTAACATTTTTTTTCAAAGTACTCATCATGGTCATCTGTACAAAGTGTCATTCTCCTAAACTAATTGTGGAAGGATTGGCACAATGTCTCTTTTGGGATGTCTTCTATACATTGTAAGTGGTAACTGCATCTTCAGCACTGGTAAGGTTCTCCCTCAAAGGGTGCGACTATGCAGATACGAGCGAGCAAGAATATGTGGCAAGATGCAATAAATACCAAACCCTGTCAGATATGTGCAAGAACCAGAAATTAACTCTCACCAACGATATTTCTTGCTTATGCTTATGGTTTTCCTTTGCGAGAACTATATCACTTGCAACCTCTCTCTTGCTACTAAATTTGCATCTGCATAGATGCCCCTTGACTTAAGAAATAAAAATAGGTCACAGCTGTAAGCCAGGTGGGTGAGACTAATTTGTCTAGTGTTTTGTCCAGAAAGTCTAATGTTTGAGCTATTGTTTGGGCTGATGCTTTGTCATGGAGTGCACATCAAAACTGCATTTGGCATGTTTCCTTGAACTTCTAGATAATTTCTGACACATGCACAATACTGTACCACTCTACATCGAGTGTCATGTCAAGAAGTCACGGTTAATACATGGCCACTTACAGAAAAGAAACTTCTTGTCCAATTAAAATTTATAAGTTTAAACATACAATAATACAATTTTTGATTAAGGCCAAATGATCTGCCAGATTATATCAAACTATAATATGGCACCATTAATAACTAATAATTAGGTTTGCCCATCGCCTTGCTCCATTCATCACACTTCAATGGATCTGTTTGATTACATTGAAATATGTTGATTATTCTCAAGGTTTTTTTATTTATAATAAAACAAATTATTTAAAACCTTGCTGATTTATATTTCATAATATATTTAAATATCCCTGGAAACTTTCTAAATTAAAATTTGGCCTACATTTTAATTTAGAAAGTTTCTAGGGATATTTAAATATATTGCAAAAAATAAATCAGCAAGGTTTTAAATAATTTGTTTTATTATAAAAAAAAACCTTGCGAATAATCAATGCATTTCAATGTTATCAAAAAGATCTATTGAAGTCCGACAAGCATGCGCTCTGGTGCCAACTTCGTCCATAAACTTAAGTTTAACATTATGAACTTTGACCTTGTATACTGTCATTTTAAAATTCAACTTGTGACAAGAGCTATGACAAGTTGAATTTTAAAATGCCAGTTGAATCACGACCTAGACCAAAATGGATTCTATTTGTATGCAAAAAAAATGACTCAAATTGGTTAAGTGGTTTCAGAGGAGTTAACAGATTGTATGTCAAAGTCATCGCTAAGAGAGATATTGTCACTGGTGACACGAGTTCGATATATCAAAATGATCCTGAAACAGAGAATATCACAGCCAGGAAAGTAATAACAGAGAGGAAGTATGGTGATTGTAGAGACCTATAAATTCCCAATGTCGTCTGTCTGTCTTTCCTTAATCTCAAGAATGCAGTTAGATAGATGAAAGATGAGACCAGATATGGAAACCTTAGGAGCAGAAGACCCTGATTAACTATATAAGAACTTCCAAAACAAACCAGAAGTTGTATTATTTCAATTCAAAAATTTTCCCCCTAAAGGTGTTATATAGATGACTGGCAAGACTATTGTTAAAGGAAAAGTATTATGTACAGAGGCAAGTCACTACTAGTTTGAGGTGGTGAATATATATTTCCAATTAAATAAATTAAAAATATGATTAAAAATTGCAGCCTGGAACTGCGATGATGTCACAATAAATAATTGCTTGTTTAGTAATTTAGATTTTTAAATTTTCTGCTTTAACTATGTTTATGTGCTTTGTATCTTAATGTATTTTTGTATTTTTTCTCCTATTTCACCATTTATATATTTTATATCTTATTTTTTGTACTTTTCACATTTTAATGCATTGCACATTTTAACTTTGTTATTTCGTATTTTTAATTTTTTGACTATTTAACTTCTTTTAATGGAAGGGTAGTCCTGTAGGATTTACTGTAACAAAAAATAATCTTATAAGTCAATTTGCTTCAGTGAAAGTTGAATGACCATGATCTAAATAAACTCAATTTCTTATTGAGAGTAAGGTTATTAATTTTCTAGACATAGAAGAATATATAATTTTTAATTAATTTTGCTGTCAGATAATTTTATATTGTCTGCCAGCAGACTAAGTTTCCAATACTTTTATCTGATAAAACTCTGCATTAAATTCCAGTTTGTTCACATTGTACAACCAGTTTATTTATAGAAACCAGTTTCATTTTTATACAATTAAATTTTAGTAGCGTGGACTGGATGTTTAAATTGGAAACCTTGACTTACAATACTAGATATTCATTGATCAGCATACTAATGCTTTTGAAAATTCAAAAATAATACCAATATTTATAAAAACTCTTCAAAAATTTTCATATTAATTTTGTTTTTTTTAAATTATATTTGTTATATAAATATTTAAAGTAAATATTATATAGATATAATGAAATTTATATACCTATGTCATTTCTTTTCCCTTTAGAAAAGAAATGACATATACTCAATGAATACAATTATGAAATTTTGACATGTGAAAACTAGTTAAGATATTTATGGAAAAACAATTGTTATATAAAATTTATAAATCTATTTATATACTATTGTTATAGAATAAATACTATTTGTAAATCAAGATATTTTTTGTTGTTTAACTTCAATTTTAAAACTGTACTAATATGCAAGTACAAATAATATCCTCAACCTTGACCTACTTCAAACTTTACTAAACTATTCTAAAGTTAAATAATAAAAGTAATTATTTTTTCTTTTATTCCATAAAAATTTCAAAATAACTTATTACAAACAAAAAGTGATAAATATAGTATGTAAAATCATTAAAAAAATATTGACATTAAAAATTTTATTTGATAAAATCCATAAGGAAAATCATTATATACAATTTTATTATTACTGTGTGCAAAATATTTTATATGTAGCCACGTATAAACTTCAACGCAGAAAAACATCTAGACAAATTGTCTATCCTCGTCTAGAAAGTAACCGTTCCTATACAAATAAAACTTGAGACTTATCAGGAAGTACAATAAACATCAGTAGTTTAGCCAATTACAACCATTACACATATTCTATGATATTGGCTAGATCATTGCTTATCAAACTGTGTGTTCATAGATCAGTTCTTTTCATTCCAATCCATCATGGACCAGTATTTTTGTGAAATTAAATCAAAATTATAAAACTGAGAATGAAGTTCAAATGCAATTTTCTTTTCTTCTTAAAATTTTGACCGAATTTGTAAGAGAAATACAACAAAAAATTTTGGTTCTAATCATTTGTAAAAAAATGGGTTTACGGGCTATTTTCAAGTAATTTCCCAGCCCAATTTCAATCACCGGTCCTCCCCCCCCGCATCAGTGGTGCCCCGAAGATTTAATCTTGGGGGAGCAGAATTGAACAAACAAACAAAAAAAACTTTTTAATGCAAATTCAATAAAATTCCCACCTTACCAAAATTAAAATTTCATTTTGGGGGTGACAGGATCCCTTGGACCCCTCTGGGTGCACCACTACCTGGCATAGGTGTTTTAATAATAAGGAAAATGGAAGCAATAAAATAACGTTTTAAAAATTCCATTTTAAATCGTTTTATTGACGTAACATAAAATTATGAAATTTTAAGTGAAATCTTGTCACAGCCCGGTAATAAACTGTTCACGGACCGGTGCTATTCAAACTATAGTCCACAGATTACGGAATTTGAGAAGCATTAAGCTAGAGCATTCACTAATATACTCAACGCTTTGCTTTTAACCTAGACCAACATTTTAAATCAGGATCTGACGTCTTTTTAACCATATCAAAGTTCAGGCATTATGTTTATTAATTTGTATCTTTAAAAGGTTTAAACTATCAAGAAACCACACAATGCCACCATAATCATACACAACATAGGAAAACATGTTATAAATTACACCTTATAATAATTTAACTTTTCATAAACACAATAAACTTCCACTAACCCAAATACAAACAGGTTTTTTTTTTTTTTTATTTTCCCTTATTTTTAAAAGGAAAATAAAGTTTCACGCTTAAATACAAAAATTATAAAACGTATTACAAATTTATTATTGAAAAATTTATCAAGAACGGACAGAGACCGATAATTAAGATTAAAGTCCACACCAAATGACGTAATTTATGTCGAAAGCAAAAATAAAACAGATAAAATCCCCCGAGTCGCCATTAAAGTAGGTTGTCTGTTCCGTTAGACAGGGGGTGGGGAATGCGCGCATACGCACGTGCGCACACACAAACACAAAAAAAAAATCGTGCGCACGCGCAAATATCCGCGTATGTTTTCATTTTTTTTTTTTAATGAAATTAGTATAATAATTTACGATAATTCGAAACAGGTTTTTATCACAAACCGAAGATTTTTCTTCTAAAAATATACGGGACAAGCGAATTACGTCTAAACAAACACAGAACGAGAACACAACGGCCTGTTACCAGTCGACCGTCGACGTCATTGCACACCTCCAACAATCCTCCGCCAACAGCCAATGAGATAACGTTTCAAGGTCGGCTGCTTTCCGAAGTACAGAACTAATCTAAAACAATCTCACGTGTAGGATTATTATTTTTATTTATTTATTTTTTTCTTTTTATTGATTTTTTCGCCATCGAAATTTTCCAATATAATAATAATATAACCATTAAAAATATATATATATTATTTGAATTCGTAATTGTTTTTTCACGTGACGTCATTTTCGCTATTTTAAAATGTGGAGTAACCCCGGAAGATGCTATTTATTATTTTAACTGCTTAAATTAAAAACAGATTATATTTTAGATTTAAATATCACTTAAATTACGTTTTAATATTAGAAATAAATTATTTTATGATTTTTTTTTTTTTACGAATCTCCACTTACCGAAATCGGCCAGCTGCTTGATAGAAAGAGGAGACGGATTAAACTGCGAATAGAAGTCTAAATACTTCCCAAGATCGCCGAAAAGTCTCACGGACTTTTTTATATTCGCCATGACTGGACGATACGCGATAATTGCCTCAGACTAATCTAAATCTAAAGTTAATTCGGGAGAACTACTATTCATCGTGACGCACCGACACCTGGCGAGCGCCACTTGAATTAATTTCCCACCGAGCGATCCTGACGGTTGACGACGGAACTAATATCCTCGTCACGCTTCGTTATGTTGTTTTGAAACAGATCCAATGGCTTTTTTATATACATTTAAATATAATTAAGGTTTATTATCAGATTTTTCAGGCGTTTATTCGATTCGATTAACAATTAGACAGATTTTCACAAACTTGGCGATTTTTTAACGTGTAAGCACTCTCGTATTGCGTAATTTGTCACTGATTTTGAAATAATTGACTAATAATCGGATTATGGAGAAAAAATAAAAATATTAACATTGAACTCGGTCATTGGGAAGTAATAAACGTGACACAAATAAAAGAAATTAATATGCAGATTTTAATTAATTGGCTTTATAAGCGGCGTACGTACACTAAGTCGTAATAATACTGTACTTATATAGTTTTGAAAATTTTAATTTTAATATTTAGGCAGAGAAGAAGTTTGCTTTAAAATCTATTTTAAAATGTAATATAATGTATATATTATTGCATATACGGTCCTTCGTGTCCGCGGGTACTCCAGTACCTTATATAAAAATGGCGCAGTAATTTGCAGTAATAAGGGACGCCAAATTCCTGTATAATTTAAATCACGTCTAAATTACTTTTAATATCTAGTACGATGTAAACGCTGCGTAAATAATTGAAATAATGTATTGTTTATGAAGAAAAAGTCTGTATATATTCAATACAGACGCGATCATCTTAGGCCTAACTACACAATGGTGTAATATTTTCTTGCTTTCAAAACTTACGGATTTGTTTATTTATTTATTTATCACACAGTTGAGGAAATGTCCGTGGACGATTGATTTCCACCCCCTTTTTAACAATTATACCCACATTAAAAACTGTACAAATAATTCAACAATGGAGGACCGACTATACAAAAATTAATTTTTTACGGTTACGTCGCAAATTCGTGATGTTTTTGAATGCCGTTTTACACGTGTTCTATTCTTGCTGATACATAATGGGACTCCGCCAGAAAAAGTTGAATTATATTGGATTTAAGGGAAATTCCCTGGTCGAGCATGGAATAAATGAGGTCACTGCAGTCACTTCAATATAAAGTGCGATTACCGATCCGAAATCGATAAAACGTTTATTCCACGGATAATATTTCCGCAAAATAAGTAGCCTATACTTTCCGTCGGGACATAAAACGAATATAACCAAAATTTCATCTGGATAGGATAAAAATTACAGGAGTTATAAGGAATTTACACACACAGACGACGGCTTTTATATTATTAAATAAGTAAACATATTCGGGATAAGCCTTTCAATCATTTTGCAGTTTTCTGTCACATATTTCTACAAGGAACAGTTGAAGCTCTCTGTTTGACAGTGCTCCAAAGTTTTTAAATAATCTACAGTACTTATAATTACAAGTTTATAATATTAAATCATCAAGGGTTTAATTTTTAATACAGTACTGTTAATTCACTGTATACTTGGACAATCTGTTCTTCTTCAACTTTAGTTTCTTAGTCTTCAATGTCAATAATCTAATTTTAAGCAAAGCTACTATAAGATTAGATAATGCATAGTTTCATTCTGTTTTTTGATAGCAATATTGAAATGTGAAATACCCATTGCAAATATCAGACAATGACACTAAGGACTAAAAAACATCGATATTTTTTGTTAACGGTGTTTAGATTTATTTACGTGTATTCCCAGCACAATGCTGACAAATATACGGCCGTATTACTGTTCGCCCTATGCCGCTACCTTGAGTTTTTTTTTTTTTATATATTGCTGTTACTCATTTCTCCATTTTGGAACCGTGAATTCAGAAGAAAATACTCGAAGAGTCGCAGCCTTTGTCCTGAAAACTGGTATTTGTTTTATTTCTATTGATATTCAGTTTATTGCCGAACACAATCAATATTGAAGATATTTTGAAAATTGAGGTTTAAGGTTTATTTGGTTACGGCAACACGACACGTTGGATTAATAAGTATAAAAACAACTATTATGAATTACCGTAGTCTTCTATATACATCGATAGATCGTTTCAATTGATTCAGTGGCGCGTTATAGCTTCATGGTGTCCTGGAAAATTTGAATTAAGGGCCTATGTGCCGTGTTGACTTCAGACATTTTTCTTCGGGGAACTTTTTGGGAAATATTTTCTTATAAAAGATTGGTTTGAGGTCTTTTGTTGGTAAGGGTCTCAGGCAATTGCCATTTTTGCCCGTAGGATAACACGCTACTGAATCGCTCTTCATTCTGATACTGTATTAATTTAGGGTATGGAATATAGGAATCACTATGAGTTATTTAGGCTCGTGGGCTTACCAGTAACCGTGTGGTTAAAATCACCCAACACTGATAGTTAGTCATGGGTTCGCGCCTGAAGTTGGTCAAGCAAGTTTTCCGAGTTTTCTTCACATGTCTAAGCCGTCCCTCAGCACCCGTCATCTCCATTGTGAGCCTGGCCGAACCCATAATGGGCTTGCAAAAAGAGGCCATCTTAGTGCCCACAGGGCGAAAAGAGTTTTAAAAAAAAATGTCTAAGCACATTTAAATTCAGATTCTAGATTTTCCGATGACAAAGCATAAGAATTTGTAGCCTAGTTAGCTCATATCTTTACTTTTCCGGCTCTGTTATATATAAGTATGGCGATCGGTAAAAAAATGACTCCGAGATTTTTACATTTTTTGAGTCACGGGACTTTGAAACGCCAAGAAATGAAGAAAAAAATTTAGGTTTTTACGGTATGTATGAATATGTGTGTGGAGGGCACGATTTTGTTCACGCTCTTTCAATCTTAATAACTCCTGTGTCTTTTGTCGAAAATTTCTAAAATTTTGCAGGGAGGTTTGTGTATCGGGGGACGATGCTATTAAATTTTGGTGGTTAAAGGTCGAGAGGTAGAAGAGATAAAGGTGGGATGTGGGGTCATATCTCGAGTAGGGGTGGACTTAACGCTTTTACCGGCTATTAGCATTTACAGCTTTTTATAAAACCAATTCCTACCCTCAAAACTAAGCTTTTTGCCATTTTATAATAATTAAAAATATAAAATGTTTTTATAACGGGCAGATGGCGCCACACGCAGTTTTAAATGTTTCTGAGAAAGTTAAGCAACTCGTTGCTGGAATTTTTTTCTATATCTCATTAATTAAGTATTGCTGTTTCTTAAAGACGTCAACAATTTAAATTTCCTTTAAAACATTATCTTTATTACACAAATAACTGTATATAAAAAAATATTTAAATTATGAAAGAATATTCTGAGATATAAATTTAGAGCACGTGCCAAGCATTACGCCCAATGCCAAACTTTTCGGGGAACTAGAAACCTAGCAACACTGTTCATGATTGACGTAATATAAATAGAAGACGTATAAATATAGCATACTCTTGAATAATTGGAATGATATATTTATACGATGCGCAGTCGAATGCAGTATAAATATATCGTTGTAAGTATCCACAAATCTCTGACCTTACCTGTCTTTGAGCATAGAGTAAGTAGTACTCTGTGTTATTGAATATGTTTAAGAAAATTTAAATGATTTTACTCATTTAGTTGTTAATTATTATAAAAGTTGGGAAATGGAGAGCAAAATGGGAGCAAAAAAATTGAAATTTAATATTTAAAAGTATGGATCGTTGTTTTTAAGTAGTTTACTTTTATTATTGCTATTTATGAAAAAAATTTAATGTCATAATCTTTTCTAGAAAATATGTACTGTTTTATATGGCGTGTAATATGTATAAATAAAGCAGGTTGGATTTCAATTGCCCATCAGTAGTTGAGCGGCTAAAACTATTGAACACTGGTTCGCGAGTTCGTACCTCACCAAAAAGCTAGCCGCATGGAGTTTTTCATGTTTTCTTCGCGTGTCTAATACCTAAATAGGAAAAAGTTTTCTATAGAAAGTTCTCCTGAGAGCCACTCCCATGGCAGGTAGTCCATGTAGTGAATTGCCTTATCTCATTAATCGAGGGTTCTATGATGTCTGATATTAATATAATGATGAGAAGCAAATTTTAACATATCCAAAACAGAGGTAAATTATCTGTGGAAACTGTGATATAAAAGGAAATTTTTGAGGAATCGATCTACACTTGAGAACAGGTATTTTAAAAGTGCAGATGTTCGTCTTTTACAGGGTATTATGATTCATTTCTGAGTTTAAATTTCTAAACATCGATTATATAAAGCTAACAATTAAGAAACTTGGAATAAAATTTGATTTTCTAGCATTTAATTATTAAAACTTAAACTATTGAGTAACAAAAATATAAATTTAGTAAGAAAAGAAAATGCCTTTATACACATATATGACCATATGACTATATAACAGGATATTAATATTAATACTTTTTCGGCTGTTATATATAACAGAGGGAAAGTATGGTCATCGGTCAAAACACGATCCTACAAGATTTTTACATGTTTTGGACTTAAGACCTCAAAACGTCGAGAAATGCAAAAAATTCGGGAGTATTTTCTGTATGAATGGATTTTAGTGTGTGTGGAGGGGAGCACGATTTTGTTCATTCTCTTTGAAGCTTAATAACTGCCTTGCTTTTTGTCGAAAATTTCTGAAATTCTGCAAAGAGGTTTGTGTATTAGGGGGATTTATTCTATTAAATTTTGATAGTTAAAGGTAAAGGGAATGAGAGATAATGGGGGTCGTGTGTATCTCGAGTAGGGTCGGTCTTAATGATGATTTTACTGCTTATTAGCATTCACAACTTTTTTTTTATAAACTCATGCTTACCTTCAAATTTAAGCTTTTTGCCATTTCATAATAGTTAAAATATAATTTTTAAAAATAAATATGATAACAGTTTGCGTCACCAAAATTTTAAATGTTGTCGAGAAAGTTGAGCAACTCGTTGCTGGTTTATTTTTACAGGAAGTCATTTGTTGTAATTGTATTTCTTTTATATTAGAAATATACAAAATTGAAGAGATGATAAACATTTTAATTAATGAAGTATTTCGTTTAAACCGATAATTAATATCCTATTGAATATTATTTAGAATTGTTTTCCTTTGCTTTCCTTGAAATTACGACATAATTAACAGATCTTTCCGTTTGTCGTGTCTATTTTCCTGCTTCGTCATTATGACTTTGAAAAATAATCATTCATTTTAATGAGTTAACAATGATATAATGATAATTTTTCTTTATTTTTTCATATAAGAATATAAGCCTATCTACTGTAAATTAAAATAAATAATTTAAACTTTTTTATATGTCTATGTTTCATATATCTATATGCAAATATAGATTGGGAACCGTCCATTAATTTCGTATATAGTTTTGAGCCCCTCCCTCCTGTTGTCTACAGTGAAGTACTTTTAGCAAACTCTCTCTTTAATTAAGTGTACAACGGTTCATGAACCCCCTTCGCGTCATGAAAAAGTCACTTAAAAAGTTCTGCAAACATTTTATAACTGGTATTTTATTGGCATTTAAGTTCTTGCGTGTAGCGTTACACGCAAAAATTTAAATCCAACTGAAGCGACAGATGCGTATTGTTAACCTGCGCGTATATACTCATATACGCGAGAGTCTTTTCATCCGTTCAGTTCATACTTCGGCATATACGTGGAATGTAACCACTTAATGTTGACATGCGGTTTTAGGCTGCGAAGCCGTGGGTCTAAAAGAAACCCTGAGTTGTAGCATACATCAATATGTAGTACAGCTACATATTAGCTAGACAGAGTAAAGTATAATGCTTAAAACTAAAGCCTTCAAACAATACAAAAATAATACAGAAACTAAGTTAACAAGCCCTATAAAAAACAGAAAAGTTATATTAACTTTAAATTAACTTATGATTAAACAAGAATATTGACGAGGACAACAACCAAGAAAGACTAGAACATACAATGACAAAAGAGCCACGAGCAAGACGCCAAACTTTTATTTTATTTATTTTATATATAGAAGAGAAGGTGGTATTATGGAACACTGCAGGTATTATGGAACCACCCCATTTCGAACTGATAATAAAAGCGAACTGTAGCGGAATGTGGCTGAACTGAACTAGGCAGACATCCATAGCAAGGGGAAAACCCGTTTTACTTCAGTTAAACGGTTGTCCGCATTTAATCAGCAAATTTGTTTTTTTCAAAATTCGCAAGTTTTGAATGCTAAGTGAATTTAATTATTTTTAAAATATAAATCGTGTAGTTGTAGGTTCACTGGTGCATGTATTCCGTTCCAGAGACTTAGGGGTACATATTAATCTGTGTGATGTTCACGTTTTTTAAATTTTGGTCTCGACAGACATAAGTTAATTCGAGATGGCGATGCGTGAAATACGGACCCCTTTGGTGCTTTTACAGTAATATGGAACTCAACTCCTCCGAACTCTCTCTTTGCAATCAGACATTCGTCCGGAGCAATTTGGGAAAAAGACACTAGGTAGAAAGTCTGAAAATATCGAAAAAGAGCTGCTGGAATATATATTGTTGATGGAGGTCATATTTTTCTATTATAAAAGCATTTTTGCGATAAAATACATTGGAGTAAATAATTTTGTAATTATTTAACATTTTTTGTCCTTTCCTATTTGTTTTTGGCTACATTAAAGCATTTTTTTGAAAATATACAGTAAGGTTCCATATTACCACCCGATTTTCTCTAAGCCTACTTTCGGACTTTTTGTACAAAAGCCTTCAAAAACCATACTTATAATTACACTAGCGAAAAATCCAATTAGGAACATTTAGTTTACTAGTTACTGGTACTTTTCGCACAAAAACTGTGGGTGTAGTTACGATACCTTGTTTACAATTCACTAAAATATAATTGGGGTTCCATAATACCACCTTCTCCTCTATATATATATAAGAAGACAAGAGCAATGGAAGATAGACAAAACTACAAAGAAACAAGAGTCAACACTATGCAATTAACCTTAACTATACAACGAGAAAGAGGAAACATGTGTTGAGTGTGCCATCGGGGAAAGAGACCACAAGGGCTTTGCTGTGTTATATGAATAAAAGTACGGTAAGTGATGGTACATTGTACATGTCTGGATGATTTGTTGTGCCAATTGTATTCCTCCAAAATTTCCGCTCATTAAGCTATCCTTAATATTCGTGTACTTATGGCAATGAAAATTAGGTGGATAGGCGTTTGTTCCTCATACAGTCTGCATTCGCAGTGTGGACTGTCATCAGGGTTGAATATATTTAAATACAGGAAAATTTTTATATTTGATGGTTTAGACACGTGAAGAAAACCATGGAACTCTACGTGGCCGGTGTTGGCAAGGCGCGAAAACGGGTACTACTACCAGTGTTCGGCGGTCTTATCCACTCGGCCATCGGTGAGCAAAATAAAAAAGAAATTTTGAAACACTTTCTCATAATTTTAGAACTTTTTAATGATCATTTTTAAACGAAACGTCCATGGGTTTTTTTCTGCATTACAAAAAATCTGATCGCAATGCAAGCATTAAGAGCGCTTTCTCATACCTATCGGATGGAAGCGACCATATTGTGAGGTACGAGGCCCGACCATCCATAAAAATTTCCTGGGTTATTTTAACCCTTCGGATTCCCCAGAGCGGTAGGCTGACAGGTCGCTTTCGGGTCCGAACGGGAACGGGTCGAAAAATCCCCAGGAATTTTTCGGGGGTGGTCCGTTCGGATATGTCAGGCCTTGTCCCTCACCACCCGGCAGCCCCATTGTGGGCCTGGCCGAACCCATAATGGGCTTGCAATGAGGCCCTCTTAGTGCCCACAGGGCGGAAAGAGTTAAAAAAAAAAGGTCGCTTTCGATATTGTTTTATATTTTTTAATATATGTATTTTAATTTTATAAACTTATACATTATCAGCACTAATTATTTCAGTTAGAATATTCTTAATCTATTTTTCGAACATATTTTCGATCAAAAATTAAAAAAATTAAAAAAAAAAAAATTGTTGGCCATTTTTGTCCAGTAGAGGGTGTTGTAAGACACCGGTAGACAGACGACCTTTAGGATAAAGTGTGACGATGTATTGCATTTATTCATATTTATGTATTAGCCAGGAAAAGGTAAAAAATTTAAATCCACATTTACTTAAATTCTCATTTAGGAGTGTTTTAAACTACTTTGGTTTGCAGAAAATTTCGTATATAAGCAATTCATTTATTGACAGCATTAGGGCCTTTGACGTTTTTACGTCTCGTCTGTTATCGATTAATTGATTGGTTATTTTGTACTTAAAAAAGTCCTGTCAAACGAATATAAATCCGTGAAATGACAATTCTTATTCTTGTTTTGTTGACGTGTTTCTGAATATCGATTGAAATGAGAAAAAAAATCCAGCAAAGAGTCACTTAACTTTTCCCTGCAACATTTACCATTGCGTGTGGCGCCATCTGTTGCCATATTAAAAACTTATTATATTTTTAATTATTATAAAATGGCAAAAAAGTTAAGTTCTTGGGGTGGGGATGAGTTTTATAAAAAAAAAAAAAAATTGTAAGTGATAATAATCAGTAAAATCGTCATTAACTCTGATCCCTTTTTTCTCATCCCCTCAAGCTTTAACCACCAAAATTTAATAGCATTGATCTCCCTAATAAACAAACTTCCCTGCAAACATTCAGGAATTTTCGGCATGTGAATTATTAAGATTGAAAGAACATGAACAAAATCGTGCTCGTCCACACACAAATATCCACACATACAGAAAAACACCGAAATTTTTCTGCATTTCTTGACATTTTGAGATCCCGAGCCAAAAAATGTAAAAATCATCTGGGGTTGCTTTTTGTGATTTGTTGCCATACTCTCTCTCTGTTAAATATAACAGAGCCGAGAAAGTAATAAAGCAAAATTATACTCTCCGTAAACAAGTTAAATTGGAGAAAATTTAAGGAAAAATCTATTAGAGAAGAAAGGAAGGAAGTGGAAATAATTGAACATTTTGTGGAAAATATATTCAAGTATAGTGATTGTTTATAAAAATGATAGTTTTTTTTAATATGTGGATTTGCGTGCGTGTTCTTGTTTAACACGCAATGTTACTAAAGCTGGGTACGCACGCGCTGGTATGACGGACGGGCATGCCTATTCGGGTATACTAGTATTTGTGTACTTAGCTTAAAATTACAAAAACGAAGACCAATACAAAAAGCATTTCAAAGTCTGTTCATTCTGTCGGAACTCAGTTTACACTAATGGGGTCAATCTTTCTTTATAGGATCTTCTCCTCCTATGTGCATGCAATTGTTTAAAAGACCCTATAAAGAAAGGCTGACTTTGCTAGTGTCAATTGTGTTCCAACAATTAGAATGAATGCATAAAAGACTTCAAAATGTTTGTGTATTAGTCTTCATTTTTATAATTTTACAATATATTTCTGTATTGGGTTTTTTTTTTTACATGGTATTTCTATTGAAAAATTATTTATCTAGTAGAAAAATAATTTATCTATTCTGTCGAGCGGAGCATTATAATTAATGTATAGTAGTGAAGAGTGAAGTATGAAATATAACTTTTTAAATTACTTTTGATATTTTTCAAATTATATTTTTATAATGAAAAATTATCTGTTTTCAGAAAAAAATAATTGAATTAAATTATAACAAAATGAATGGCAACACAAATGAACACTGAAAACTTTTTGTGCTATTCATTTGCTGGTTCAAATCCTACTCTGGGCAATTTGTTTTTTCCATAATGTTTTAAATTAAAATTAATAATTTACTTAAATTTATCAAGAGATGGCAGACTAATTTTGATAATTAATTATAATATAGCCCTTTTGTGCAGTAGTTTGTCTTTAATTGAACAATTGGATTATGAATTGAATGACCATAAAATGCTTTATTGGAGTTTTCAGGCAAAAATAATAAAATGTTAAGTTTTGAATCATAAAATTCTAACAAAAACATCTTTTAACTGTAACACTGATAAAGGTTTTTTGTGGACTCATAAAATTCATTTTGAAAAATTAGAACTTACTGCAAATTTTCGTATAGTTTTAAATAAATTATATAAAATATTGACTAATAATATGTGGCTTGAAAAGGTAATTACAGCCAGAGAAATAAAATTATTGAAATATACAGAATTCATAACAATTAAAGTTTGAAAATCATTTAATAAAGAGAAGAAGTGATTATTAATTCTACAGTTTTTATTTAAATTCATACATATTAAAATAAAATTTATGGAAATATTCAAAATTCTATATTTGCCAGTCACTATAAAAATTTCCTAGGATCATAAGCCATCCTTATACAAACAAACTAGAAGGAACCATGGATCCAAGCATGACCATCCAAATGACATTGTCCTCTAAAACTTTCTTACTTCCCATAGTGTTGAATGATTTGCAAAAACTAATTAAAATATAAAATTAATGATGAAATTTTATAATTAATGCAAAAATAAGTTGAAAATTGTACATAATAAGAGTTGCAAATTTATCAACTGTATTATTACCAGTAAAATGCAAAATTTTCAAAATGTTTCCAGTTTACCAGGAAATTATATAAGTAATTTTTAAATTTCTACTCCAAAAATCAGCACACTTATTGTTTAGTTGCAGACTGATTGGTGAGTAGAAACTAAGCAATGACTAGTGCACTATGTCCAATTGAATTCCCTTTTATTTTGCAAAGCAACAACTTTGTTGTCTGAAAAATAGAACTTGCCGTAGTTGCCGTGATTCAAAAGTGGTTGGCGTGAATGGTCACATTCAAATAAATGTGTTCCATTTTATCAACTAAAATTGTTATTGCACTCTAGGTTTTGCAGGTTAAGAAAAAACTGTCTAGCTTAGTGCTGTAATGTGATACTTTAAAAATTGTAAAGAATTGTAAAGTAATCATTTAAAAGATTAACAACTTCTATGGTTTAAATAAATTTTATTTTTCTGTGTCTTCAATACATAAAAATATAAATATACATGGAAGTGTATACAAATAATTATTTGGCTTTAAAAATATATTATATGTCTACCTATTTTTATTGAATTTTCCAGTAAAAAATATCAAGTTACTGGTATACTTGCTGATGCATTTTTTAACCAATTATCAGTAATGTAGTCCCTATTACATTGAGAGAGACTTTTTTTTTTAACTAAAACAATCTAAGCATATTGTTTTACAATGTCAAGAAGAAAATTATCATGCATGACAAAACAATAGGAAAAATGAAACAATGAAGGTCAAATCCATTACAAAAACTGAGAAGTATATATAACGGTTTCGACAAATAACTAAAACAATATCATAAAAAGGGAAAAGAAAAAAAAAGGGAAACGGCAAATACATCCCAGAGACCTAAAGTAAGCACCATGGCGGAGCAGACACCAGCAGACAAGCAAACGGACATTACGGAGCACGCACGAAGAATGGAAGGTGAGATACAGAGACTTCTTATTGACATTAACTACTTTAAGACACATATTAGAGAAAAGCGAGCACTCAAAACTCTATCACTACCAAAAAGTATAGAAAAAGCCATACCCAATAGAGAAATAAATATAATCAATTTAAAAATATTAAAGGCAGCAATAAAATATAAATATATAGCGATTACCAAAATAAAAAAGAAACTCAGGAAACTNACAACTATCGACGTAACAGACTGAAGAGGGGCGAAAGCCCGAAACGCGTTTCTGTAAGAAGTAAATGTAGGTGATGGAATTATTTGCCAAGTGTCTATAAATGCACCAAGTCGTGACATAGAATCAGAAGAAACAAGAAAAAGAAGACACGGTTTCGACAAATAACTAAAACAATATCATACAAAGTATATATAAATTTACCTCTGTGATGTATGTTTTCCAGCAAGACTAATCAGCCCCACAGTGAAGTCAACTGTTTCCTAATTTATTAAAGTTCCTTTTTTTTTTTTTTTTTTGTTATAAGTTCAGCAAAATCTGAAATTAATGCAAATGTCATATCAGTAAATGACCATCAATTAAAAAACATTGTAACAAATGCTAATTAATTTAAATTGGAAAGTTAAATTTTTCTTCACAGTTGTTGCAGTTTCTTTCAGTAGAGGGATACTGATTGGCTCATTGGATAGAGATTTAATAACTGAACATATAATAGATTTTGTTTATTTGTGGACTAGTTTTGACAATATAGTGGAGTATAATTTATTAGAAATATCCTTTTTATATTTGATAAAATGACCATCTTGTAGTCTCATAATCTTACTGAACACTATTACATTGTCAAAATTAGAAAAATTTCTTCTTTGGAATCAAATACAATTATTATGTATGCCATCTAAGTTTATATTGGATTATAAATATTAAAATATTTTGCCATTCTTTAATTATATCTTTTAAATGAAATTGAATTGACATATGAATTACATTTCTGACATTTTACTTAATAACTAGCCTATAAAATATTTGAAATATAATTTTAAAAAAGGAAAAGCACCATTTATAATATGCCAAAACTGGTACAGTATCTGCAAATCTATTGGAATAATACAAAAAAAAAAAAAATGATGTTTGTTAACTAGAACAGTTTTTTGTGTTAGAAATAAGTATGTTTTGTTTCCTAATTGCTATCTTTAATATAAAGATGAAAATATAATTTATAAATCTCCTTAAGCAAGTAGATTTATATTCAGATTTGCATATATTGTTTTTTAGAAGTTATCTGATAGTTTGCAGAAATATATGGGTAATTTGGTTTATCTTTGCTTATATAAATTATATTCTTACCTTAGTGTATATTGAAAAAATTAGACTTAGTTCTAATTTTATTAGTCCATTTTTGAAATTGTTTGATATATCATCTTTAATTTTAATATTGCAGCTCATCAATTAGTTGTATGGAAAGGTATGTCTTACACAGAATTAGAACAAGGCTATCAAGGTCTGAGGCAATCGAGACCATGCTTTTATATAGGCGAAGAAGACAAATCTTTATGTCATTATTTTAGAACAGAAAAGGTAGGACATCTTACACTTAAAATTATATATAATATAATAATAATCGTTATTAGCATGAAGGGAAGTATCCCTGTTGCAGGGGGTTGTACAAAGTGATATTATAAAATTTTTTACAATATTTACATAATATATAGGATATTAGTATTAAACAATTTGATAGTTACAAAAATATTATTTACATTAATAGTCAGATGTACAATATTGGTAATGTTTAATATACTGGCGTAGATTTACAACATTTTTGTGATTTTATACACTTAAAATTATTATAATATAATAAGTGTAAATTCATAAATGTAAGTATTCTGTCAATTTAAATTTGGAATACAAAAACAAATTATATCTAAACTTTTTAAATTATTTGGATTTAATACATCAGATATATTTTTATAGATATTTATTGATTATTGAGGATCATCTAAAATAAACTGCTTCTAAGAGTAACAATATTTGGTTTTAATTTTGTAGTAATTTTTTATTATTAGGGACAATTTAAACTTATTTCTGTATTTACATTAAATTATGTATTATTAAATAGTTTTTAGAAAACTAACTTAAATAAAAATTATGATGTTTTTATATTATTAACTATGCTAATTTTTACTTTACACCTTTTGCATGGTAGCCTGTGTCTTCCTAATATGTGGTTCTTGTGGCTTTGCTAATGTAGTTTTATTTTTTCTCTCTTTTCTGCCTCATGCCATTATGCACTCCTAATTAAGCTGATATTTATGATAAAGAACATTCAAACTAAACTTGATTAGTGAAAAGATGAGAATAAACTATATATTACTAGTTTGCATATCATTAACATACTAGTATTTTAGTATCTAGTGTACTGGCAGTTGTGGAGTATGTTTGTACTTAGCAGGCTTACAGTCTGTAACTTTAAGAAACACATGCACATAGCTCATCAGAAGCCTACAAAGTTCACTTGTAGCTCAACCAGAAAAGATTGCTCATCATTGCTTTACACTAACCACTTTATCACAGATTAATCAAATTTTAGAGAGTAATCCAAATGTTTTTGGCATGTTGAACATTCATTTTTAGGATTATGTAGAAGTTTAGCATGAATGTTTTTTTTTTTATATTTAATTACAATTTACAAATTAAAAAAGATTTTTCAAGAAACATCTTAGATATTTTGTATTGGTATCGACGTAACAGACTGAAGAGGGGCGAAAGCCCGAAACGCGTTTCTGTAAGAAGTAAATGTAGGCATTTATTAGCTTACAT